CTTCGCGTCCCACAGCCTCCCTTATCCGCGGTAGCCCGAAACCTCTTCCTCTCGGGTCTGCTATTAATCCGCAATTTTTCCGGAATCCCGTCCGTCGTGAGGACGCGCAAGTTTGTCGAGGATTTCAGGCTCCTCTCGAGGTCTCGCGAGGTTTTTCGCGAGCGAAGGTCACAACGCAAACTCGCGTATATTATTCGCCGACGAATCGAGCCACGTGTCCCGATCGACCGATACCGAATCCGGATATCGGCGGTGACCGGAAGCCGCCGCAGCCGCGGCGCAAATTCTTTGTGCTTAGAATTGGAAGTCACAGGAGTGTGAATTTTAATATCATCGCCCAGCCGGTGGGGAAAGCCGGAGGAGGGGGGTTTCTCGCGCGAACAGACGCGGGAATTCTCTCGCGGGTGGGATTCGCGCGCGGCTTCGGCGCGCACGCTTCGCCGGATCTTAATATCTTGTCGAACGTCCCGGCTGTGCCTCCGCGGTATTTTTCCTTCCGCGGTGTCTCCCCTGGATCTTTGCGACGACGACGGCGCGGCGTCGCGTCGACCACGCGCGAAATTCGGACGGCGATTTCACGCTGGACGAAACCGCCCGCGACTTTATCCGGCCGCGGAGTCCGCGAGAACCGATGTCTCGCACAATGTCCGAGAATTTTCGAGGAAAATGAAACGACTCGATAAAATACGTGAGTCCATAACTGTAAAAAGAAACTATAAAAAAAAAATGAAATTAATTTTTAATAAAGCGAATGTTTTATGCTGTGTCTGAGAAGCCGAGAAGCTCCAAAGTTGCTCTCGTCCGAGCTTTCGAGGAAAAAACGAAACGATTCGATAAAATCCATAAGTCCACAACTATAAAAATTATAAAAAATTGGGAAATCAATCTTTAGTAAAGCGAATGTTTTATGATGCCATGTCCGAGTGCCGAGAAGCTTCAAAATTACTATAAATTGAGAAATGCAACTAAGACCATAGAAATGGCAAAATTAGTTTGATGGCGAATGAAGCAACTATTTCTCATACGAGATCTACTCATTAATCAAAGGTCACCCAATTTTCGAAACTAAGATAAACTTTTTTATATCAATATTGTTGAACGATGTCATATGTCGCCATTAGTACATTACTTTCCCAGATCAATCTATGCATTATGATCGCATGTTTATACGACAAATTAAGATTTGTCTTAATTTAACCTAACTCACTGCAATGTAGTTGCTCCATTTTCTAATTTAGAGCCCTATTGGAAACAGCGACATTTTAACGCTGGTAAATATATGATTACAGTAGACTCGTCTGGAAAAGTAGTATCAACGATGCACAATATTGTTTAAACAATTTTGGCATTAAACTTTTTGTCGGCGGGAATCTAGAAAGGAATTAATTCATTTGGAGTACTTTCGCCGAAATTCATATTAATAAGGCAAGTGTGTGTGTGTGTGTGTGTGTGTGTGTGTGTGTGTGTGTGTGGTTTTGGAAAGTTCATCCTCAGGGTGAAATCAACTTTCGCAATAACACATACGGCGATCCTCGTCTCGACGAGGTCTCCTCAGCGGTCGGCCATTAAAGGAAAACGCGCTCGGATGGGACGCGTACGCACAGCGTGCGCGCGCGCGCGCGCGATTGCCGGAATCGCCGAGACGGAACAGGTTAATACACTTTCCGTCTCGCGAGGGTTAAGGCCATTAATGATAAGGCACGCTGGTGTTGGTGGCCGGCGGAACACAGAGATAACCGTTCGCAATTCGTTAGCGCGCGTCGAGCGAGCCTAATCACCGGGGCCCACGGCGCGAATATAATAATTTTAATTTGCACCTTATACGCCTCCACGCTCTTCCCCCCCCCCCCCCCACTTTATGCTTGCCTAATGACGTTCGTCGTTGTAATTATCCGAGACGCGCCGACGCTAACATATAATTAAAAGTTGAAAGTGACGCGCTTCTTCGCACGCGCGGCGAACTATCAGGACACGACGCGGCGCGCAGGGCGCGAGAGTGTCATCTCCTCCTCCTCCCGCTCGATGGGAAAAGAGGGAGATAAGCTTCGTTAAATCTTAATTCTAATCTTCGCAATTCACGTGAACCCTCTTGCCTCTGCGTAAGTGGGGAGAGAGACGCGAGTAGAGTCTTTTCCCCTTGGCGGGCGGGAATTTGCGCGATTTTGGCGAACTCCTCCACGAGTGGCGTCATGTTGCAATTTATACTTGTATGCGTCTATTTTGACACGTTTCTTCTGTACTATTGAAACATTTGTATGCGTGTCATTCAATTTCACTCGTATATCTCTCTCTCAAGATGCGTACACGCGTGTCAAATACGTATTATCATTTGCACGCTTGGAAACGCACGATCGGCAAGTTAGTTCCCTAACTTAGCCTCCGACAAAAAAAGCGAGCGCGCTGCGTCCGCGCGACAGATGGCAGCATCGGCAGCGCGAGATGTTTCGAGAGTCGTTGAGTTTTGAAAAATCCCTACAATCGATATAATATCGACGTGAGGATCTCGGCTGCTCCGGTCCGGTCGGTCCGGAATGGCAACAGGCAGGAGAATGACGGGGAGAAAAATGCGCTTCGGTAACGGAAAAGCGAATAACAACGCATCGCGCGGCGAGGCATACCGACGTCGGCGAGCGCGACGAGAGACAGCGTCTCGCTACCACGAGGACGAGATTCCGTCGAGCAATTTCAAGTCCATCCGTTCGAGGATGAGTGCGGAGAAATCCACGAACAATGAGAGGTTCGCGAGGGAATTGATACGAGCGGGAAAGCTTCTTAAGTTAATACCTCGTGGCCGCTGCTGACAAACAGTTTTTTCCCTTTCATCGAGGGATATATCGCGTAGGATCGGTCTGTCGACGCTAGGAAAGAGGTACAATTCGCCGATTCTTACGTCCACCGTTGTTCGAAAACGTGCTGAATGTTTTGAGTGTGATCACCGAGAAATTTGCTTGTAAAACGTGCGCACTTGGTTTACCCGGTTATATTAGTGTATGCAGCAGATATCACATAAATTTACGTTTGTGATTAAGTTATTTGTGCTTTGTGAAAAATGACAGGGCGTGCAGTCTTTGTTAGTATGCAATTTATTTTATTTATCCAGGGTGATTGTGATTTATTGAAAGTTACACAATAACAAAGCAAAGTTGTGGATTCTCAGAGTTGGTCGATGGGAAAACTTTCCCACCAAGTAGTTACTATACAAACTTTATTTATTTAACTATTTATTTAACTATGGAGCATAGTTGTTAATTTACAATGGAAATAATTTGGGCCAAGAGAAATATACAAGCAGATACGAGTATCTATCATAGATACAATAGGTACAAACATTTCAAAAAGATATTGCACGGTGAGTCAGAGTCAATGTAGTTCACCAGGATTCTATATTCTATCCCTACTCTTTCCATCGCTATATCAGTGTGGCGTCAGTCCTGGTCAGGACGCAGCCTTACTTCAGTTTGCCCCCAGACGTGCTATCGATGGTACCGTAAGCTCAGTCTGTATCTTTAACAAAGAAATCTGATCAGTTCAGTGGTGTAGAATCAATAAACTTGTCAGAATCATAATAGGTCCTTGTAGATTTAATAAACTTGGTGGCTGCTTGTGTTAGGTTCTCCGCTACAATGGTATGTACTCTATCTCTTTTCTTTTGACTCAGGTAAATGTGCAGTCAAGCGAGTTGATTCGCTATGACAGCTTCTCATTTCATATTTCTTCCCTTCTAAAGACCCGGATCAAATTTCCACGCTTATTGGAGAGCTATTCCTACTACCCCCAACAACCGTATAACAATGGTAGGCCTTATGAGAGTAGATTTTTATACATGTATGTGTATGTGTGTGTGTATATATATGTGTATATATATATATATATATATATATACAGATACATGTATGTTTTAACTTATAAATTGATAACCAATCTGTCATATGATAAACTTTTGTATCTATACAACACAAAATTCTTTCTAAATTCAATAGATTTTGTGTATGTGCAGTGCATAATGATTAGCCTGAATGTTTTATTGTGATTCACGATACAGTTTATGTTGCATTAACATAATATAAGCAGTAATCACTTGTTAATTGTGTGTGTAGTGGGATTAGATCTCTTGTTGAAGTGGATTGATGCACATTTTCCCCTTGGGTTAGAGCAAGGTCCTTATGAAATCATATTTCTATAGCCCTGCTGTAACAAAGGACAGGCCCTAGAGGTATAATGATCTTTTCTCTGGCAGGTTACCTCTCATCATACAGCTATTAATATTTTTCCACCATATTAAAGCTCAATTCCATTTAATAGAGCATGTTAGAGTCAGGTTTAGACATTTTCAGGTCTGACAAGCGCATTCAGCGTATTGCATTATAGGTTTACGATCAATACTACACAAATGGTCTGTTGCGCAGACCAATAGGGTTGTACATACATATATGAACACATAGAAACGCATCCCTCTGCGCAGCCTGCCAGGAGATGGTTCATGGTTCCTATACTATGCTCCACCCTTAGACTTCCTAACAACGGAAAAAACTCCCTTAGCTGCTTAATTGAGATATGACTCACCGCAGAGCTGGATCGATCCAGCATCCCAGGTTTGCTGGTCCTTTGTTGGTACGCTTACCAGCTCTGCTCTTTTGCAGGCATATATATGACTACGCTGAGATCAATAATGTTTAGCTGACATATTGCACTGTTAATAAAGTATCAAACATGCAATATTTATTTCTTTGGCTTTAGAATTCTATTTGTAGCCTACCTTTACCCCATTGAAATTTAATTCATTAATTATGAAAATTGTTTAATACAATATCCGTGTGTATTATCTAATCTAAGTGAAAGACAATTTGTTGACAGGTGTACCTTCTCCTTCAAGCAAACGTCAACGTGCAAACGTCAATCGTAGCAGAACCACAATTTTATTTAATCACAAAAAATATATATTAAACAAAAATGTAATTTTATCATGCAATCGCGCTCATATCGTTCATTTTCTGTTTTAGGTTGGGACTAACCATGTCCACTAAGAGGCATCGTGGGCGAAAATCAAGTGTAGTTCATAAAATAACACATGAAGGCTATAATAGATAGGATGAGCGCATCTCGGCAAAACGAAGCGCGTTGCTTCAATGAGAACTCTCCCAGGCCGCCAGTGCCAGGTAAAAAGTAGAGCAAACTTGAATTTAATGAGAAGGCAGGAGCGAGCAACCTCACGCACTAATCCGCAGAGTTCTGCCACGTGAGACTGCAATTACATGCTGGTTTTTTTTTCCCTTTTTCTCTCTCCAGGAGAGGAGACCGGGAGCTATGTCAGCAGGATCCGTCCACAGAGTCCCGCTCTGACACCTAGACGTTCTTCTTTCGCAACACCAACGGTTTCTGGTGGTTGCGATGCTTCTGCACCATTGGGATTCGAGCCGGAGGGTTGTTGCGGAACCACTACCATGGAGAGCGATTCTCCCCCTGCTTATGTACGGTGGGCAAGAAATCTGCACTCCTTGCTAGAGGATCCGGTGGGTTTGGAACTGTTCAAGAGGTACCTGGATCAGGAGGGGCATGTGGATCCGCTCAATTTCTGGTTCGCCTGCGAGGGCCTCAAGGAGCAGAAGGACATGGAGAAAATATCCCAACTGGTCAAGCTCATCTACCGGAGGTTTTTTCTCAAGTCTCAGCTGACCATACCGGAGGATGTGATGAAGGAAGCGGATCGGCGGGTCAAAGAAGGCCGCGCCGACCAGAAGGTGTTCGATATCGTGCAGCTGGAAGTGGAACGGCTGATTAATGAAACGACGTATCCCAACTTCCTGCAGTCCGACGTGTACCTGCAGTACGTTCAGTCCTGCCAGAATCCCGACTCTGGCGGTTGCCCGAGCTCGGGCTCGAGCCGTGAGATGTCCCTCTCGTGCGGCCCGAGTTTACTGCCTACCTTGCACGAGGACAGCGAGTTCGTCAGTTCCATGCACAATTCGCACTCGGCCAGCGAGACGCCCGGTGAATTTAGGGAATTAAGATTGACCAAAGATATCCTCATGGCCACCCAGCAGAGCAGGGCGATGGATGTGCGGCCGAAACCGGAGATGTACGCCGGGTAAATGCGCTTTTTCCGTCACGTTATCTCGAGCCTTTCAAGTATTTCGAGCACATCTCACATCATCATCCACGATATACAATAATACGCTTCGAATCAGTTTCTGCGATGAATGCCTTAACAACGCTGGTATTCTTTCTCTGTTTTTTTTTTCTCTCTCTATTCCTTTCTTATTAGAAGCTTGATGTGATGACATTTGCATAATTCAGATTCCGTTTCTTGCGTTTTACATTTTTTTTTTTTTTTATTTTAATTGTTGACCCCTCGAATCTTTGATTATCTTGTTGATATCATCGAGAGGTAACTTGGTTCGCATTCCCCGATGACGTTCTTGACAACGTCAAGTTTCGCAACACTTGTTGAACTGTTAACTCGAAGACTTTCTTTGTTGTTTTTGCGACGTAACCCCCGTTTTTTATTTGCCGTTCATTTAGTTGTTTTCGTTTTGCTGTTTTTGCGTGGCACTTGTAGCATTTACTTGCAACGTGGGGCTAGTCCATATCACATGCACGTATCCAGATTGCACGCACAATATTCCTCCTACAACCCAGTATCAAGACAGGATTCAGAGCTTCAGAGTTTGAGCAGTGATGCACGGACCGAGGTGGACAATATGTCCCTCACCGATGGCTCCGTGTAAGTTATTTTCTGAATTTTATTTGACTTTCTCTCTCTCTTTCTCTCTCTCTCTCTCTCTCTCTCTCTCTCTCTCTCTCTCTCTCTCTCTCTCTCTCTCTCTCTCTCTCTCTCTCTCTCTCCTTCAAGCCCGTACTCGATGTTCCCCAGAATGGGGCCTCCTAAAACGTTACTTTCTCTCTTTCGTGCGCTCAAGCTCGTCACTCGCGTTACGTACATTCGCTACTTACCTTGCCTACAGCGATGGAGCGAGCAGCAGACAGAGGAGCAAAAAGCAATACGCGAAGCAATCTAGAACAATTAAAGAATCTGCGAGCGTGAATCGCGACCCAATGGCGCATCATATCGTCCCGCGGACTCAGCGCGTACCGTCCCACCTCTCGAAGCCGATGACGGCGGAGCAGTTCATGCATAAGCTGTGCGAGAAGCTGGAGATCGTGGCGCGGGAGAGGAAGACGCAGGAGAAATTGGACAAACACCTGCAGGAGGATGACCTGAGCGGTAATGACGTTCCGTTAAAGACGATCAGTAACACCCACAAGACTCTAGGCGACGCGCTGAGGGAGAAGTTGTCGGTGGAGGAGGACAGTGACCAGGCGATCCTCGACGAGCATGTGTCGCGCGTCTGGTCAGACCAGACACCCTTGAGATCTCCCAGGCTCTCGTCGCCCAGGTTACACTCGCCCGAGAGGCGACGAGGCCCCGCGCACAATTATCCACGGCCCTACAAGCAGAGGAAAGAGAAGGACGTGTTCTCCACCTTCTCGGTCGACAGCGGTAATATCCACGACTTCCAAGAAGGCAGCGACCTCGTCGGAGCTGGCTCCATGAGTTCACTAGGCTCGCACCTGCCCAAGTCGAAATCCGTGCCATCCGATTACGCCGATTCCCTCCACAAGCAGGATCTGTATGTTCAAGGTATGCCATCGCGAGAATGTGTGCGCGCGCGAAGCGACGCGCAACGGCGGTCACGATGTAAAATGCACATTCATGTCGCAGGTCATGAGCAGAGATTCCGAAGGTCGGACATGACGAGAAGATCAGCGACGAAGAAGTCGATGACTGAGCTGACTGACAGCGGGGTGAGCGTTGTCAGCGACGTGCCGCCTTCCATTAGCAAGGACACTCGTCTGTTGCCGCGCTTCAAGGAAACTGACAAGAAGATGGACTTGAAGCACAGTAGCCGCCATGGCAAAAGGTACGGCTCGCGTAGCGGCTCCTTGGAGAGGCAGAACAGAGAAACGTGGAGCGTTGGAGTGCCTGCTCAGCCGTTCGTCGCTGACCCGGGGATGCCGCCGTTAACGCCACCTCACACGGTAAATCGTTGTTCCCCTCCCTTTTTTGTTCGCTAGTAACGACTCGCGAGTTTATTTTTGTTCACACAATGTGTTTACAATATATTTACATGTATAATTTATACAACAGCAAATATACACTTGTATACCTGAGGGGGATTTTTGATTGAGAAAGTTGGATAAAAATCTCTTTATCTATTGCAGGTCATACAATTGGAAGAAACGTGTAGGAGGCTAGGAGGCTACCTGGAGGAGAGTAGTCGGGCGCGCACAAGCTGCAAGCAACGGCACCTGAACGCCTCCAAGCAGACGTACGAGCCCGCGTCGCAGGGTCAGCCGTACGTGCAATCTAATCAGTCTACCTTGAGGAAAACGAAGCAAGACGACTTCACCACTGTTGTGTTCAGTTTCTGTGACGAGCAGTTCCCCTACAGGACCAAAATCCCCGGTCACAACGTCACGTTGAAGCAGTTCAAGGAGTATCTTCCCAAGAAAGGGAGCTATCGGTACGTACATCTTGTGGCTTTCATCGATCGTCCAGAGTCTCGTTTTAGTCTCGGAGACTGATAAATGATTCGCTACATTAATTAATCCAGAAGACATTTTGAACGGCGCCATTTTGTGCGGCAGCTTCGCTACGATGATGTTTCTCCTGTTGGCTCGTAGGTACTTTTTTAAAACGGAGTGCGAAGACTTGGACACGAGAGTCATACAAGAAGAGATCACGGACGATGCCGAGGTACTCCCGCTGTGGGAGGGCAAAGTGATGGCGCAGGTTAAGGCGCTCGAGTAAAATAGACTGGATTCAAACAGAGGGGGAAAGACAGACGACCGAGCGGGGAATGCGCGAGAATTTTGACCAAGTGCCGCAATAAATATTTAAGAAATCCGGCGTGCGACAAGAGGAAGAGAAGTGCGCTCGGTATTTATATGTATACACACACACACACACACACACACGTACGCACACGCATACACACGTACATACAATGATTCAGACACACATAAACGCTTGTGACGCGGCCTCTTTTTCTCGTAATCGCCTAAGAGATTAGTTTTAATTGATCGATGAAAAACGAAATATCGAGTCCGAGCTATTGCTCGCGCTCGGAAACGCGCGGATAAGCGAGAATAAAAAGCAAGTAACGAACGGCCTCTCTCGCCACACTCCCTCGGATGGCGACTCTCCTCGCGCTTCTCATTTTCCCATCTACTCCTCCAGAGCTCACTTTTGCACTCGTCAAAACGAAGAAGCGTTCCTTCTTTTTTTCTTTCCCCCTTTTTTCTGTTTTTCTTTTTTCTCCTTCCGAGTTGCTCTAACAAACTTTGCGAATCGCTACAGCGTTTTATTGTACATACAACTAGTATGTAGCGATCTTCGGCGACAGACAACGTTACTCACATACACACACATGCATACACACATTTCGAGCACAGCACAGCAGCCCTTACGAACTACGAAGCTGTCACAGTTTTGTGGTACTGGTAACACACTTCCACGGGGGCAGGGAGGGGAGGGGCAGAACGGGGCGAGAACGGCAACGACGTACCCGAGCATCGTGACCGACTAACAATTTTCTTCCTCTCGACGACTTCCCATAGTTCTCCAAACGACTGTACAAAAGTCCGCGTAGTTGATGATCGCCTTAGTAAGGTTCGCGTAGGCGCTATATAGACTTACGTAGGAAAGGATATTATTACAAATTAGCGTCTAAGGGAGCATATATTACGTGTATTTTACGGTGGACGAGTGTTGTTCAATATACGTAATATATCTTGTGTATACGGGACATGCGCGACGTCTCGAGTGACGTGCTCTGAGAGAAAACGAGAATTGCGAATCACATTTCTTTTTGTTGTGCCACTGTTCACCGTCATCGCGCGTCGTCGTAGTCGTCATCGTCATCGTCGTTACTTGACATTGTGAAACATAAATCGCTCGCTGAAACGCGCGGCCGGCCACGAGTGCCGTGTGCGCGCGAGTGCGGTGTAAAAAAGCAAAAGGAAAAAGGCGAAGGAAAACAAAATGCGGTTCTTACCACTTTGTCAACAACGCGCAATTGGCAGGGCATCGAGCCGGCGAACGCTTCGGTGGAGAGGGAGATAAAAAAAAAGAAATCATTAGCGTTTAGATTGTAATGATGTTTTTATCAGGTGCGGAAATATGTGCCTTTTTAGTGCGATAAGCTCGAGATAAGCCTAAGAGAAGGTTAAGAGATATTTATAAATTGCAGTACAGGGGCCCAATCCAGGCTAGGAGGCGGAGGAGGAGGAGAAGAGCGTTAGCGACGCATATCGGGTGTAATTTTTATCGCTCCTCGAGTCGCGTTCTCATCAGTTTTTCGTTTCTCAACCGCCAAGGCGACACCGTTATCGCGCGTCAAGTGTGCGTATCGTTCGACCCGCGTTCTCTCCGCGAATCAGTTTCTTTCCTCTCGGCGCGTACACCGCGGGCCCGCGCTCGTCGCGCGCTTCCTTTCAACCTCTTCAGCCTCGGTTCACCGAATCTCTCGGGTTCTCGCCAGAAATTCTCGCCGCTGGAGAACTCGTCCGTCGACGTGTAAAGATCGTGCTTCTGAATTTGTGTGTGTGTGTGTGTGTGTGCGTGTGTGTGTGAGTGTGCGCGCATGTGTGCGTGTGGAGAAAAGCGAGAGCTCGTGTAAAAGTAGCAAAGAGATATTTTCTTGGAAGAATGAAACTCGAGGCTGAAGGGATTAAGGTGTGCGCGGCGAAGAGCGATCGCGAAGGACTCGTTCGTTCGCCGCCGCGCGGCCCACGATCGACGGTTCGACTTTATTGTTTTCGCCGAAGCTCCCTTCCTGTGGGAAAATCGAATGAGACAGCGTTACAGCAACGACGTACCGTTCATTTGGAGGTCCCAGCCGCGCCCGAAGGCGCGGTGCGCGTCGTCGCGGTCGGTAACGATCTATGATTGTACGTATAATTGATCATCATTAATTAATATCACGAATGATAAAGTGTTCCTGTACCTAATTAATTATAATATGACGATTATTGTATATTATTATCGAAAGCATTGAGAATAATAATAATAATAACGCGATTTTCACCGGAGAGTGTGTGTGTGTGTGCGTGTGCGTGTGTGGACGTAGCCTTACGTGGCGCCTCGAGGATCTCTCCGTCTCTGTAGTTCCGCAGTCCTCGCAGCTCCCGTCGTTCCCCCAAAGGACGAACACCTGAGAAAAAGGATGCCTGCGTGGGTGGGTGAGGAAGAAACGCAACGTGTCATTTGCACGCTAAATCTCACTTTATTTACAACAGCGAATAGATCTTTGTCGGGAGTATTTTTGCTTCTTATCGACCCGGCGAACTCGACGATTATACGTTCCAGTGCCGCACAAGCTGGACGGTTCAGTCCTTCTCCCCCACGTTTCCTTTTTCTCTGTCTCGTGTCTCGAACTCTTCTGTCGTCATTCTTCATTCAACTGTCTCTGCTGCTCCGCTGCTTGGCGTACAAAATATTCCTCGAAATACGGCAGGATATATATATATATATGTACATATATGTGTATATAACAAATACGTGTAAACGGGTAACAAAATAAAAAAAATATCGTCAGGTATCGCCACGCCGAGCAATGGAGCGAGCAGACTCCCACGGCTCTACGTTGGCCGAGCGATAAAAATTGTGCGAGAGAATATGGCTAGGTCGGAGATGACGCGCGGTTTGGATTAGCCGCATGTTGAAATACAACGGTGAATGAACACGACGCACTCTCCCCAACACGACTGATGACCCTTCGAGTCTGCCATTCCGCACATGGCGGAGGATCGCACCATCGAGCGGACGAAAGGAAGGAACCTCGTAAGTTTATCATCCGCAATGTTCCAACATGTCTCACTATAAGTTCAAGAAGATCACTGCGGAGGGTAGGTGGGGTTGTAGGGAGCCTGCTTGGCGTACGCTTCGCTGCTGCTGTACTGCGGCGGTGGATGTTGCGGGAAACCTTGAAGAAGAGACGAAGAATAATTAAGACTCGAATCGTCCGTGCGGTCCCCCTCGTTGGAGGGATGAGACAAGGTGGTCTTCCACCTTGAGAAACGTCTTCGGCACGTCCACTGGACCCAAGAGGCGATCGTCGATCTCTTCCTCCAGCGTGAACTCGCGGAGAGAGTGAAGCGTTCTCATGTTGTGCTCCCATTGTCCTGGAGCTCACGCCAGAGGGGAGATTCTCTTCTATCGACCTCCTTGGTCCACGACTTTAGATGCGAGTCGTCTGGATGTGACGCGTTTCATTCACACGGAGAAATGTTGATCGAGTACCTGCTGGATTCGTTGGATACGGCACGTAGTGATTCTGAGCCGGATGTTGTTGGCTGGCGTAGCTCGGTGGTGCGTTCACCGCTGGAGTCTGAACTATATGCACAGTATTAGGTGCCTGAACTTCTGTAACAAACACTACAACAGGCACAGAGTTGACCTGTACGAGAGCGTTCCGCGAAATAGGCGCGTTTGTCTCAGAGACAGCAAGCAAGCTAGCATCAGGAATCGACGGAATGAAGAGCGACTGAGAATATAAATTCCACACGCTGGGTCTTATCGACTTGGACCAGGAAGATGAGTTGTGGTGTGATGATGTAGGACCGACAGAGAGAGAGAGAGAGAGAGAGAGAGAGAGAGAGAAAGAGATGGAGAGAAAGAGAAATCCGACATATATATGGAATAATGTATATTCTTCCCAATACATTTATCACTTTCAGCAATGTATACTTCGTTTCGACGCGGCTTGAGCAGTTTCGCTCTCGGTGAAGTCTGGGCTTGCCGAATAATGCTCATGATTGCGAGCCCCACGACTGCTCTCATGAGCCTGCGCGTTAATCGCTTATGACTATGGTCTAAGTGATAGTATAGTATATGATATATAAAATAGTATATATGTAGTAATATACGTGTATATGTGACACCCAGCGTCACATCTGCAACGTAGGAGACTCCGGCAACACGCGAGTGCCTTCACTATACCGTTTCTGCATCAGACACGGATATAACGAAGAGCCACTATTTTGCGCTGGCACCCAATCGGTCATGCGATTATCGCGTGGGCCCGCGGAGCAGAGCGCTCCTCGCCTCAAATCAGGAGAGAAACTTGGGCAAACCGCGGTGCGAACGAGTGTACATGAGCCGAATACAATAATAATACCTTTTACAATATCAAACGTTAGGCGAGAATCGATGTTGATAACATTACAAAGACGAGCACAAGTGAAGGGAATGTTTAATCCGCCGCGCGTGTTTGGACCACTCGGGTGAATTGCGACAGGGATAAATGAGATTCACGGTCTGTCCCGTCGTATAAAGCGTTCCGTGCAGGTCTCGATAAATTTTGCTCGCACATGAATGTCCGTGGTGCTGTCTTGTCGTAGTAGAAAATTGCGAAGGAATGCTCTTTTTCCTCGGACGCGTCTGCTGCTGCACGGAACGCTTTGCACATACATTAAGTACAGCTCGGAAGACTAAGTAAGCTTAAAACTACGCGAAGCTGGAGTCAAGAAAAAAAAAAAAAATGAAAAAAGTGTCACCCGTGGAAAACGACTAGGCTCGATGCGGTTCTCTTGCGCGTCTATGTCAGATTTGATCTTCACTGTGCGCGTTGGACTTATCATCTAGACCAGCGGATTCTGCGTATAAAAATGTCACGACCGATACTCTCTCCAACCAAACGTAAGTCTCGCGCCTTTGATTTTCACAATGTCGGCAGAAAGAAATAACTATATTAGAGGAAAAAAAGAAAAAATACTAAGAAAATAAAAGATACTGCGCCAACGAACGAGCATTTTTATAGGGAGAATCCGCTTTGCGCGACTACACTAAGAAATATAGTTAAATGCCTTCCCCTTGGGAATGTTACATGTAGGAAGCAAGATGTAAATAATTGTTAGAACTCTTTCGAATCCTGACATATACTCTTCACGAGATATTGGAAGTATGTCGGAATGGTATTATGCCTTTGTTGGTCCTAGAAAGAATTACGATCCCATTACTGGCCAATTCAAAGGAAAATGAGCGAAAGAGAGAGAGAGAGAGAGAGAGAGAGGAAGTATCTTAGGAATATTTCATTTCACAGTACTGACTCTTGCTTAATTTTGCCATCGAATTTCGGCTTTCGCATTTCGCGCAAAAAGTTGCCGCTGTCTCTGACACAAATTGTATATATGTATATGTGTATAGCAACACACACACATATGCAGGTTGAGGCAAGGCTAAAACAGGCCACCTGAATAGCTCTGAAAAAATGCAAGATAGAAAAAATGTCAAATACGGAAGCTGCATGATTTTGAAAGATCAGCAAGTTAACAAAAGTTAGGACAATATTGCAACAGCATGTATTTGAGACCAAATGGAATAGAAGTCTAGTACCCCTCACTTTTTCATCCGACAAATACTCCCAACCAAGAAAATGGTAAGCTGATATTATTGGAAAAGTTTTCCTGGAATATCCCAAAAAATATTAGGCAAGTAAAAAAATATTCCAGACAAAAGTTGTCCGAATTAATTGGCAGAAAAAGATGATATAACAAAAGATGGAGGTTTCCATTAAACAAATTCAAGGTGACCTTCCCGTAACCTTAATGACGCTGTTCAAGATCGCATATTAGTGATGCGTCTCACTTAAAACCCTGCAACTTCTGTGTTTAATATTTCTTTCTATCTTGCATATTTTCAAGGTAATCCAGATGGTCCGTTTCAGATGCCTCACCCTGTTGATACGATATTGTTAATTTTATAAATTATGTATTGTTACCGACACAGGCAAACACAGACACACATTGCTATTTGACAGAGTGAATGTTAACGTTAAGCTCACTTCGGTCACGATCACTGTGATGATTCGTGACGCGTCTCCGTTTGTGAGATCCTGCCGTGTCGTGATTACAGATCGTCTCGAGTGGAATTTAGGTAAATTGTGAGTACCGAGATGACTTTAATTATTTTGTCTTAAGAGAAAGATTGACTGATGGTGAGAGAGCTTACTTCCATAGACGGTGCCGCGATGACGCCGTCGGTACCATGGGCAGCATTTGCAGCACAAGCAGCATATGCAACTGGCTATCAACGCAGCGACCACAGCTATCGTAATTGTTAAGGGCACCACGAGACCAAGGCTGAAATACAATAACGGACGTCAGAATGATCCTCTTATCAAATCTCTTGGAACATAACACATTTCCCATTGGGCGAGTCAACTTTTCAGTCATCATGCTGCATGTATTATCACTTGATAATTTATATTGTTACTCGTATTACTGTATCGCACACACCATTCTTGATACTTGTCAAAGAGAACATTTCAACATTTTAACAGATAAGTGAACAGACGTCAATACTCGTGCCACCTACAAGTACTTCAAGTATGTGGAACGGGGCGTTTCTCCAAAGTGCTTTACGTCACACGAGAATAGTTAGTGACAAATTGCGGGCGATTACCCAGTTTTCAGCGCAAACTCCGTGGCGTCGCAGCAGTAGAATTTTTCGTTAGGTAAATCGTAGCAGCAATACGACTTGGACGGGTCGCCGACAATCGGAATCGGGCACGTCTTCGTGATCTTGTCCAGGAAGTCGTTGCTCGTTCCCAAGCTGCAATCGGTCCCTGAAAATCGATGATTCCGTTGAAACGATAACAATTTTCCTATCTATGCGGACTCTTATACCCGGTGGCGCGAAAAGTCACCGACCGAGCGTTGTCGTTGCGAGTAACTTGACGGTGTCATATTAATCATGTTAATAACATCACATTAATATGATTATTTAATAGTGTCATATTAATATTTTTACAAATATTCCCAGATGGATGTATTGAAGCACGCGTCTCTAATTTTCGGCCAAAAAATCATTAACAAGATGTCAATATTGTTAATGATTTCCACCGACTTCAGCATCCGAAAGTCACGGAAAGAAGCACGGAAAAATGTGAAGTCGTCGAAATAGCAGCAGGCACGTCGCCAGGCATAGTCGCGATTAGTTTACGGTTTGTGTTATCTACTCGAGAGCAGCGATGACAGCGAAACCAGATACACGTTTCCGATGACGCATTTCGTTCCTGGAAGAAAGAGAAGCGATAATGCGCGAATTCGCCGCCGGCCGGCCGGCTCGGGAAGTTGTTCCCGAGTGCGCCATTGCGATCAATTCTTTTGCCGGCCAAGACGAGGATGAGACGTTTCCTCTCACGCAGGATAACGTTCGAAGGGATGCGCGCGAGAGGGAGAAGGATGCGAGAGCAGGAGCGTTGTGGATCCTAGGTTCCTATAGGTCTGCTCTTCCTCGAAGAATTTCCTCAACTGGTGCAACAAGTTGGAGCGAGACGAGCGCGATTTGTTTCGCAAGTGAAACTCGTACCAGTTGATGGGACGTTCTTCGGGTGAGAACTGTACCACCCGTTGTCCGGCTTCTAGCGTCATGTAGAACAGGAGCAAAAATAGATTGGACTCTAATGGGAATTAAGTGACGTATATAATAATATACAGATCGAGAGATGCGCCGCGCGATCGGCAGTCGAGTTAAGTCGCCGCCGAAAGCTTCGCCGCCGCCAACAACCTTCGGCCTTCAGGAGCGTCTCGGGCGCTGCAGACATGACGGAATTGAAGAACGCTACGTCTACAAATTTTCGTTATCTTATCGGGGCGCGATTAGTCGTCAAATCGGGTCAATAAATTAAGCTACCTCGGCTGGGTTACCAATGCGTTCCTCTTAACCGGAAGACTCACGAAGTGATCGTGCGCGTGCGGTGCGCTTATCATATTCAAGATGTTGACGCCGATTCTGCGCCGCTACTTGGAAAAACCGTGCGTTCGAACGTAAACAGTGTCGAGGAAAGATAGGAATATGCAAATGTAGCCAGCAGCGTCTGCAAAATTTTGTCACATTTATCTCGTTGAGGTGCACAGAACACGTACGACCGTTTATTTAAAATTGAAACACATCTGGAATATTTCCGGTGTGAAAATTCATATTCTGAGAATAATAAATTGAAAAAGGAAAAAATTCTCCGCTCTGTATACGAGTACGTTATAGCATCGCCGCGGGCGCGCGGGACGATGACGCACTGAAAGAGGAAATATTCACGGTGTTTGATTAGAATGTATCGAAGATTGATGTTCCTCTCAGGCGGTGTCAGAGGGGGAGGGCAGAGGAACGATATATGTATAAACGGGGAAAACCACGCCGCATGTTGTCTCGCTGATGCTTCGAGCGTTCTTTCTTTCTCTCTCTCTCTCTCTCTCTCTCTCTCTCTCTCTCTTCTTCTTCTTCTTTCTCTTTCTCGCTCTCATCGGTTCGGCTTTCGTTGCAGAATACCGCGAGCGTGGAGACTGTAATACAACGCGGCTAAGAACGACCCTTTGTTCTCCACGATGTGGACATGCGCCACTCCCCAAAATACTCCCCAAAATGCGATCACATGTTAAGCGTCGGACCGCATTTTCTTACCGTAAACGAGCCCTGCCTGCAAACACAGCAAGATGACCGCTCCTGCAAGCTGCGACATGTTGATCGACGTGTTTAATATCACTCTTAAGGATGAGCCTTGACGACGCGACACTCTAACAGTCGAATCCACTTCACGAGTGACTAAGAGCCGCGGACAACGAGAACACCGAAGTACCGAACCCAACAACCTGTCAAGCAATGTATAGTAGGGATGGATGACGTCACTTCCATTATTGCGACATCGATTATTTTTATCTTGTAAAGTCGATTGTCTCGTACGATGTTTTTTCACTTTGATTATTCCCTAGACGACCGATAGTATCGAATCGATGTTACTAGAATCGTAATTTTCTCCGATAGACATGGAGATGTTGGCCAATAGAAATACTTACAAAAAGTACAACATAAGCAGTAAGCGAATCAACCAATCACAATTGAGAACGAAGCAGTGATGACCGGCAATTAATTGGTTTGTTTGTCTATGTCCGTTTGATTTATTAAAGGCCATCACACACAAATGGACGTAAGTAGTAAAGCCCGGTCCACAGAATAGGTTGCAAACACCCAGTTGCGAGTTACGAAAAATGGCAACTACTAGCTACAAAGTGTTATTTTCGGTCGTAAGACAGTTGCGGTTGCTCAAGCCCGTCCTACATTAGTCGCAAGATACAGAACGTAAGTCGCAAGTCGTAGAAATCCACCAATCATAGTCAAATGTTAAAAGAATAAACTTTTAGAACGTTCTAGAATCTTCTAGAAAACTCTGGAAACTTCTGGAACATTTTGGAAACTTCTAGGCCTTCGCCGACCACGTATTCGCCTTTCCCGATCACGTGCTCGCCTTCGTCGACCACGTGCTCGGACGACCGATATATCTGGCAGAAAATTTTAATTTTTATTTTCTCGATTTTTCGCATTTTGTATCAGGAGAACATAATATGTTGAGAGGAATTCCAGATTCTGGCGGAAAATTTGTATTTTTCATTTTCTCGATTTTTGCATTTTGTATCAGGAGAATATAACGATCGAGGAGGTATTCGGAATTCTGGCGGGAAATTTGAATTTTTCGTTTTCTCGGTTTTCGCACTTTGTATCAGGAGAATATGATGAGCGAAGAGGTATCCGGAATTCTGGCGGGAAATTAGAATTTTTCATTTTCTCGATTTTCGCACTTTGTATCAGGAGAATATAATGATCGAGGAGGTATTCGGAATTCTGGCGGGAAATTTGAATTTTTCGTTTTCTCGATTTTCGCATTTTGTATCAGGAGAATATAATGAGCGAACAGGTATCCGGAATACTGGCGGGAAACTTGAATTTTTCGTTTTCTCGATTTTCACACTTTGTATCAGGAAAATATAATAAGTGAAGAGGTATCCGGAGTTGTGGCGGGAACTTTGAATTTTTCGTTTTCCCGATTTTCGCACTTTGTATCAGGAGAATATAATGAGCGAAGAGGTATCCGGAATTCTGCGGGAAATTTAAATTTTCCATTTTCTCGATTTTCGCACTTTGTATCAGGAGAATATAATGATCGAGGAGGTATTCGGAATTCTGGCGAGAAATTTGAATTTTTCGTTTTCTCGATTTTCGCACTTTGTATCAGGAGAATATAATGACCAAGGAGATATTCCAGATTCTGGCGGGGAATTTGAAAATTTTCAAATTTTGTTCTATTTCCTGATTTCCGCATTTTTTATCAGGGGAATATAATGACCGAAGAGGTAACATGAATATGCGGCGCGAAATTAAAAAAATTGCAATTTTCAATAGGAGTGGGGTTTTCAAAGGTATGGTTTAAAGGAAAGGTTGTTTAAATAAAATGGTTTTGTTGTATATTTTAAAATATTTATTTTTATGTTAATTTTTTATTAATACATGTGTTGGAGTTACTATTAATGGACAATTTATTTCACAACTTGATGTGTTTCTACGCTGGTATTTATAGTTGAGTCTTACTATTTATATTTAAACCGTCTTAAGTTCACGTTTAGATACCCCATAGCTAATGAAATAATTTGTACAGCATCTGAAGATGAACTTAAGACGATCTTAAATGTAAGTTCCGACTATGGCTGCGTTTCGTTATTCATTGTTAGTATTGCAATTCTATAGTATACGTGACACAAACTATGTATTTTCAGTACTGACAGTGAATTTCGGTACGCAGCCTATGAATATCGGCCCTAGTCTCAGCCTAAAGCCTGGTCTACAATGGCCGTAAGCAGTAAGAAGTAAGCGTGAACAGTAAGAAATGGACCAACCACAGTTAATTATTTTTGTCATAATCGACTGTGATTGGTTTATTTCTTACCGCTTACGCTTACTTCTTACTGCTTATTGCCATTGTAGACCACGCTTTAGACTAACGGAGAATTCATACAGCGTTGGATGTACGACATACAACGTACGATATTTAATAGGAGAGGACAGCTTACTTATGGAGAATTATATTCTTTATGAAAAAGTTATTCTTTTATTGGATATCAGACGTCGTACGTACGACGCAGTGTGAATCCTCCATAATATTACATGAGTCATACAAGCTTGTCGGACGTTTCTATTGGCTATCAGGTAAAACATCACTAGAGAGAAAATTAAGTGTCGTAGAAATTCAGCCAATCGGAACATTCAACATGCATGTCGTATGTTGCATGCAATATTAACTTCAAGGGCTCAATTCTCGAAAAATGTTGCATACGATGGCTGCGTTCCGATATTCACTGCCAGTACTGAAAATAAATGGTTTGTGTTACCTATACTATAGATTTTCAGTGCTGACAGTGAATATCGGAACGCAGCCGATATTTCATGATTGTCACTAGATATCACACGATTCTCAGCCAATTAAATCGCCCCAATTAAATTGATGAAATATCTTATACGATATTTTTCACAAACATTCGATAATTGAGCCCCACGCCATTACGAAATTAATCAAACACAATAGATCATTCGTTTGAATAATTGACTGTGTTTGGTCAATTTGCTTGTGTATTAAGTGTAAACGGCTTATTGTAAAAGAGTACCTTTTTTATTCGCTTTATATGTTAAAAATCCGTTTGGTTGTTTGGTCTAAAATCCATATAACTTGGTAATGTTACATCTTGATAAAACGTACTAAAATACTTGAATATATTGAAGTAATGAAGTAATATATTCTCTAACTCAACATTTTATGACGAAGTTATTTATAATTGACGCAATAAGTTATTTTTTATTGCTATTTTGATAATATAAACGGATGATATAATCATTATTATAATGTATCATTGAAAAATAAGAAATATAAAAATGTAATACAAATAATAACACTATAACACAAATATAATATATAGTCCAATGAGAAATAAATATAATATAAAGTCTTGTAAAAATATAATAAAAATATAAAATTCATACAAAAAATGTAAAAATATAATAAACTTATATTAGAAATATCAATGTCTAGAATATTTGAGCTATTCGTTGTTGATGAGATCACCAACAATATGTCCCATGTCCACAGAGTGTTTTAATACAAACGAGTGATAAAAACCACGCTGACACAATTGAGCATTGAGATCCGGATGTATTGATATCATATTCTTATAATATCCAACTGGAACCCAATTATCAACTGTACCATAATAAAACCAAAGTTTATCATTGTTTTTAGATATGGTGTCGTGATCTGCTTCTCTAACATATTTCATCTCCTCATTTGCAAGTTTAATTACTCTGTACAAGGCTCTTGGATTCAGCAATGTCTGAATTATCTTGTTATATTTTCCTGGAATGCCATAAAAAAAGTTAAAGATACTTATCATAAATGTTTGCAGAAATAATGGGAACATGGAAAAGATCCAAGATAGGATGATCAATATTCGAGCTGTACGTGATATCTGGAAATGAAAAGAAAATTATTTCAATTATAGAGAGTGCGGTATGATATTTGTAATCTTTTATGTACATTATATATATTGTAACAATGATTATACAGATACTTACAATATTACAGAACAGTTTGCCATTGGGGCTCTCTGCCATATGTTCTATCGTTGGGAACAACAAGTAGCTCCTTTTTACCCTCTTGTTGATGTCGGGATCCTTCAGTAAATTAAGTATGACCCAAGCACCTATAGAATGTCCGATGAGATGTAGCTGAGCATTCTCCGGAACGTATGTCTTTATGAATTCTATCTGCATCACAAGTATTGACATCAAAGATACGCACAAGAAACAGACAGTATGATTAAGCATGAGATTATACGCTGTACTATATAGACTATAGAGACTATAAGCATACCTTGTGCTGGACTTGAGCTGTCAAACTATAATGATCCTGCCACTGCTTATTACTGGGCATAGCGATGTCCAGGTTTTCTGGGGGTTGCACATGTCCAGCATGACCAATGACCCATACAGGCGTGTCGGATGAAAGTTTCGAGCTGATCGCCTTGATAAAATCTTCGTAGAATCCAGGAATACCTGGGTTCCCCGTGATGACAAGCACTATTTGCTTGCTGGAGTGAGGCAGCGGGTCTTCCTCTATCCACCGGCCCTCGGTTATCACCTCAGTCTGCACTCGATTACATTTCACCATCGCTCGCCGCATTTTTCCTCACTTTATGTTGCGCGCCGCTTAATTTCCCACGAACGGCTGTAGAACCGGATTGTATCTCCAGCTGGAATTTAAGCGATGTCATCCATTGTCAGTTCGAACGAAGGTCGGTATAACGGTACATGATTGCACGGCAGTGGTGGCAGTCGTGAATAGCGGGATGGGTGGTGGGAGTGGTGGTACAATAACATAGGACAGATGGTAATATATTACAGCACCATACCACGGAATACTGTCGATCGATCAACCACTACCACGAGCCGAAATAGCTCAGTTGGGAGAGCGTTAGACTGAAGATCTAAATGTCCCCGGTTCAATCCCGGGTTTCGGCAAAGGTGGTGAGTTTTTTTTTTTTTACGATATTCGTTGACAAACCGGATAATGAAATGATGCAACTTAATTTTTGATGCTGCAAACTCGACAGTAACGTGCGCTGGCCTTTTTCTCGCCGAGTTTGTTTTTGCTACGCGGAGATAAGCGTAGAAACAGTTTGTCACATGTACTGCTAACGCTTCCTACATGAATGTTTACAACGTCGAATGGTCGTTTTACGTTATTTTTATTGATTTCTGCGGTACTTCAAACATGCATCTAATTAATCTTCTCTACAATTTTTCGAGAGAGGTTAACTTTGTTAGTTAACCTGACAATCAAGACACACGGCAGTGTCTCGCGCCAAGTACACGAGAGAGCAACTTTCGAAAACGGAAACAGCGCGTTTGTACGAAGTAGGATTTAAGAAAGGAATGATCCATATCGTCCGATTGGACCGAAATGCTGTGAAAATAACGAATTACGCCCGCTGGAAGTTTGAACGTTATGAAACTTAATAAGGCCGGATCTACAACAGAAGTCGTAAAGAAAAGAATTGACCAATTACAATTGATTATCCTTCGACCGCAAGGAGAAATAATCGACTGCGATTGGTCAGTCCTTTTACTATCCTACTTAAGACTTTACGACTTTTGTTGTAGATCCCGCTCCAGAGATGTGCACGATCTGGTCAGAAAAGTCGAAGGTCGCAGTTCAACATTCTCGAGAAAGCTCGAGTGAGGCGAAAGATCCAACACCCCGAGCCAAAGAGATATCCTTGAGAGATATCAGGGCACGACGCAGGAGCGCCTTTGAGACTTCATTTTCGGCCAATCGCTCGCAGGATATGCGCGCCGAAAACACCTAATAACGATGTGTACATCTAAAGACCACCACCATCAGCCGAATTGAATAGCGCGAACACGAGTATTACTCGAAAACTCGAAGAGTGTCAGGGAGTGTCATTCGGTTCGACCATTCGATATGCATATCGATCGCGTCCGCACGCTCGTCCGGCGAAGCTCCGTCGAACATCAGCCGGGAAGTCGGGAAGGACAGCCGCGGCGACCGTTCTCCGTGCGGATGGCCGCGAGGTCGCCGGCCAACGGACGGCTCGATCGTTCGCCATCGGTATCGACGCGTGCCCCGCGACGACGTCCTGGCGGCGGCTCCGGAGGAACGCACCGCACCGGGTCGCGCTTTCCATCGCGGAAAGAGCATGGCGGCGGTAATTCGAACGCGCGTCATACAGGCCCGCGGCCGGCGGCGCACGCGTTATGGCGTTTGATCGCGCGCGGCCGTGGGGCGGGGCGAAACGGCCGCTGCCGAGGCTGCCCGGCAAAAAGTGCACGGCTCGCCCTCGCCGCGTCGGGGGCGCGGCGCGCCGCTGGAGGGAGGCCGTCGGGGCACCGCCTCGGCCGCGGCGCCGGGCCGCCATGCTGACACGCACGCGACATCCGCGTAATCGGATGATCGTTCCTCCGGGTCGTTCTTCGGTGAGCGTAACCTGGAGCGGCCGCAGCCGCTCGCGAGAGACTCTGCGTCGCCGGAAGCCAAGTCCGGCGACGGAGACTGAGTCCGAGGTGGGTGGAGCGGGCCGTGAAGTCGGGCCCTCGGGCCTCGTCTCGGGGCCGAGGCTTAGGTCGGATCAGGTTAGACTAATTTGCCCCGTTCTCCCCTCCAGCCCTATTCGAATGCGAGATTCCTTCTTGACGTCTCAAGGTTCGTCGAGATCTCCTGCGCGGCGAGTGGGACGCCGCCGCGAGGTCCTCGGCATGCGAGATATCTTCATGCTCTTTTTCTTCATCTTCTTCTGGGGCCACCGCGAGTGAATCGTCGCGAACTCCGCAAACAGAGAAGGCCGGCGAGCTAACCGCTCGATCCGCGCCGCGGGAAGCCGAGTTTCCAAGTCGGCCGGACGCGCGGCGTCCACGTCCTCGCGCGACTTGGACCCGCTACCCGCTCCCCAGGCATTCTACGCTTTTGGCGCAGCGTTTACGATAATACGCTACTCCAACATGCATATTCCGTGTCTCATGTGCGCGCCAAGTCGGCCCCGGCCGCGGCGGAAGTAACGGTAACGCGTCGCTCGTTCGCTCGACGCGCGATGCATTTCGGCACGGCGCGTTTTACGAGCGAAGTTGCCCCGCGAAGCGGCCCGTCGTCAGTAGCGTACGAAAAGCCGGCTGCGCCCCGCGCCCTCGTCGCGGGAAATTTCGACAGCCGGCCGCGAGCGAGACGGCGGCGAGTTCCGCGCGGAAAGCCCGAGAGAGAGAGAGAGAGACACAGAGAGAAAGAGAGAGAGAGAGAGAGAGAAAGGAGAATCTACGAGTGGCAGTTCTGAGACGTGAGAGAAGAAGACGGGACGACTCTCTGACGCTGACGCTGACGCGGCGCTAATCGCCGAAAACGCTAATCCAGCTCGCGCGGCGACCGGCGGACTTTCCCGGCGTGGTGAGAATTCCGCGCGGTCGTCGGCTGTCGGCGCGCCGTCGTGACGGCAGCGAGGAAACCGCGAGGCTCCGCCGTGTCGGGGAAAGAAGGCGGCGCCCCGACGGGGTCGTGTCCACCGCCATCTCCGCCCGGTAGGCGCGTCAGGGGCGGCGCGCGGCCGTGGCGTTCCCCGGGCGGCCGCGGCGGTGGGGCGCCGCCGTCGTCCGAAGCCGTAGTCCGCAGTCACAATTCGGTCGTTCGACGGTGCAGATGTTGGTGCTTCCGTCGCGTTTGCGTCGCACGCAATCTCCTGCGGCTCTACCGGAAGTACACCGCGCCTTCGGCCCGTAAAACTTCGATCCCGTCGCGGAGGCCGCCTAGCCGTCGCCGCTTTCGTGTTCCGCTGTGCTCCGCTGGCACGTCGTCGCTCTCTCGCTGCTAGCGTGCCGGTGGTTGTTGTTCCCGGAAGAGAGACAGAGGGAGGGACGGAGAGAGCGAGAGAGTGAGAGAGAGAGAGAGAGAGCGAGAGAGAGAGAGAGAGAGAACGGCGAGTCTCGACGCTCGAGAGCCCGGACGATCGAACGCCGTCGCGACGAGGAACTCCAGCGTCGGCGAGCGTCGGGAGGACGTCGCTCGAGGAAGCCCCGGGCTCGCGCGAGTTCGCTCTCTTCCGCGAGCGCAGACGAGAGCGCGGCTTTAAGCTACGCTCGGCGATACCGGCTCGGCGCCTGTATTAAAGAGAGATATGCCCGAAGCGAGGACGGTTCGCGTCGGCTGACAGCGGTCGTCGCTAGCGGCTCGACGGTGCGGACCGACGATCGAGAGAGAGAGAGAGAGGGGGGGAGAGAGAGAGAGAGAGAGAAGGGAAAAACGGAGCAGCTCCAGCTGAGCCGCCTGGTGTCCTGGTGAGATCGTGTAAAGGGATGCGAAGCTGCCGGGCGGGTCTCGTCGCGAAGAACGTCGGCCGACGACGAGAGACGACGGCGAGGCGCCGCGGTCAGCCGCGCAAGATGTAGCTTGGCAACGCGGTGCGAGCACCTTCGTCGCGAACGGTAGGCGACGAGACCGGTTTCGTCGGAGCTGCCCCAGGCCCGTCCGTCCGTCCGTCCGTTGTCCGTCGACTCGCTCGTGCAGCGTTCGAGCTGTTGTCGGTGAACTTTCTTGTGTTGTGGTGTTGAACGTCGTCGTCGAGGAGTACAGTGCCGCCGCCGCCGTCGCCGCCGTCGCTGCCCCGGAAGGGCGACCCTCGCCTACTGCGCTTGACTCTCGGAGCCGGTGCGATGTGCCAGTGAAAGCCCGTGCTGTGTGTGCGCGGCCGCGTCGCAGCCGACGACGAATCTCGTTCCCCAGGAGTGCGCCAGGATGATGACGAAAGGCTGTCGTCTGCCGGACGCGTTCGACTAGTCGTCACAGTGGAGTTCTGCTTAATCGCAGGTAATTGCCGCCGTCGGCGAGCGTTCGACGAGAGAGAACTCGCCCGCGCCTTCGCCGTCGCGCGTCTTTCCCACTCGGACGAGTTCCGCGGCGCTCAGCGGCGCTCAGCGAGCGACTTCTTCTCCGCCGAAGGAGTCGCTCGGCCGGGTCGCCGTTGACGCGGACGGGTGTACTTGGTTTCATCCTGACTCACCGTAGCGGCTCGGCAGCTTCTTCGCCGACCAACGGATACTACTAGATAATCGCGCGTCGCGCACCCCTCAACCCTCGCGCGCCGAGGGGCTAAGCGTCGCCAAGAGTGCGGGTGCTTTCGGTGCTGCCCGACACGTAGACGTCTCCTTCGCGATTGCTCGAAGAAAGTCGCAGTAGCGAGCGGTACACTCGCACGCTTGCGATGGGCGACTTTGCAGCGACACTCGCTGGGAGAGAACGGCCCTGCCGACTGCGTTCTTCTTTCACCGAGCGTTGCGAGCATCGGCTAAACACTTTCTCCTCTCCTCGCTCTCTCGCACCTTTCCTCTCTTCTTTCCGCCCGGCCCTAACCTCTCTCGGACGACGGCGCGGCGCGGCGCGGCGCGGCGCGGCGCGGCGCGGCGCAAAAACACCGCGGCGAGCAGGCGAACGCTGATCCCGATGCTTGATTTCCCGAAGCGGCGGGCCCGCATTCTGCGGCGGTTTTATCAACGTCCTCGGCGAGAACTCGCGCGGGATACGGGCGAGCCGTCGAGCGCGCGGGGAAACCTCCTCCTGCGCGCACACTCGTTCCAGCCGATCTGATACAAGCGCGCGATTATGCGTCCCATCGAGTATCATCTTCGTTCCCAGTCCACCACGCAGTGGTGGACTCGGCGAGATCGCGCGGATTGCGGTTGCCTCGCTTGAGAAGCAAGCTTTTTCGGAAAAACACTCTTCCCGCCCGTCTCCCCTCCGCCCTGCCCTGCTCATTCTCCCTCTCTCTCTCTCTCTCTCTCTCTCTCTCTCTCTCTCTCTCTCTCTCTCTCTCTCTCTCTCTCTCTCTCTCTCTCTCTCTCTCTCTCTGCCTTTCCTCCCGCCCCCTCGCCGCCGTAGGCAGATAACGCCCAGCTGTTTTATCTGAAAAGTGGCGTAAGCGCAGTTTTTCGAAGATCCATCGATACCGAGACGGACCCGGCGTCCTCGGCCGAGCTCGCGAGATGTTTCAAAACCGGTGCCACGCTGTTCCCGAGATAAGCTCTTTCGCGCGCGCGCGCGCGCGCGCGAGACGCGAGAGTGTCCCAC